AAGAGGGTATGCAAATTCTTGGCGAATGCAAGTCATCGGGTACATGAGGCAGCCCACGAGCTCTGCGTACTGACCACTAGGCTCGATCGGCTCGTCAGGGACTGGAGCCGAGAGCTCGTGATCGACAGGCAGAGGGGTGGGCTGTGCAGAGGAGAACTGAAGGCCGAACATCTAAAATACCTGGGGCACCAAGTGTGACTATGAGAGAGCAATAATGCACGCTGCTCTATCCCTGGAGATCTGCAGCTTGAGGTAATGACTCTCCTAGGTCAGTGCACGTGTATCTCCTCAGTAGCTCAGCCTTCACTGAGGCCAGTGCGTTCCTGTCTGCATTAGCAAAGACCAGGTCGTCTACATAGACGAGGATGTAGAACGGAGTCTAGTCAGAGCGAACGAAGAGAGACGGGTCAGCATAGCATGCAAAGAACTGGAGGTCCGCTAATGTAGCACGCAGCGTGTCGTGCAACTCAGGGGGCACCTGCCGCAGACCGTAGACCAGGCGCCGGAGGAGCCACTGGGTCCCAAGAGGAAAACGAGCCAGTGAAGCCTGGAAAACTCACCTCCACGGTCGGAGTGTGGATGAAGCACAGGCTGGGCGCGGTGGACTTGGGAAACTACAAGCCACGGGATAAGAATGTCAGGCACGTTGGTCTTTCGCTTCTAGGGAAACACCATGGTGTAGCGCGAGTAGTCGTCCATGAAAACCAGGAATTAGCGCTCGAGGCGCGGCTCAGGGAACGGGGCTGGGCCCTAGACGTCCATATGCAGGGTCTGAACTAGCGTAGTGGTGGGGGGAAACGAGGAGAAGTGAGGAGCAGCGCGCTGCTGCCCCTCGACACAAGGCGTGCACGGGGTTGCGGGCGAGGGAGGGAGGGCAGGGAGCGACGTAGGGAGACCAAAGACAAGACCACCGCCCGCAAGGGATGTGACCTAGACGTGTGGGACGTCGTTGTGACATGTGACGAAGATGTGGGAGAGCGAGGTGACCTAGATGGTGGTGCCTTTGTAGCGACGGATGAGTGAGCGACTGTCACAAGCAAGCCGCAGCGACTTGCATAGACGCAACCTCCAGGTGCCGAGGTCCTAAAGGCGTCGTATTCCAACCAGGTTCATGGATAACGAGGGGATGGGCAGACCTGTAAGAGAGCCATTGGGAACCGCTGGACAAGGAAGTGTAGTGGAGCTGCGTGCGACTACCAGACCGGAGGAGGGGTCTGCAAGGGAGACTGCTGCCGGTTAAAGAAGGGGCATGAGAGAGGTGTGGTCACGAGCATGCGGATGCACCAGAGTCCAACGTGAAGGAGAGCGCGGTGGTAGCGTCAGCTGGCGGGGGTGCAAGTGTGGAACCAAGGCTATACAAGTCAGGAGGTCCTACACTAGGCAAAGTAGGGGAGCCTAGACTACACACAGCAAAATCTCCTAATCTAGGCACAGAAGAATAATAGGGTCTAGTAGCACTAGAGTCATCAGCATACATAGCATGCATAGCAGATGCTATCTAATCCATATCCAGCTCTAAGACCGGCATACGACGACGTACCAGGCTGGGTCAGTCCGGGAGGGCCAGTGTGGGCCCGAAGGAGAGACAAAAGAGGTCGTCGAGGCGGCGGTAGAAGCGGGCGGCGGAGTGACCGTGCGACCATAGACGGTGCCACGGAGAGGACCGAACTAAATCTGGTACTGAGAACTCACCAGTGTGGAGCCACCACCCGGCGTGGAGCTGCCATGGCCGCCTCTGTGTCCACCACCACCGAAGCCGCCTGGCCACCACGGCGGCGGGGGGGCCCACTGCTGCTGCTGCTCCTGCGGTGGCTGCTCCTGCTACTGCTGCTCCTGCTGCTGCTGCTCTGGGGCATCAGACCCCACCCCCTTGTCTGCACCCCCAGCGCTCCCACCACCCCCACCATCCCCACAACCTCTTGCACCCTTCCCTCCCCCACCCCCCCCCCTTGGGGCGACAGGGGCCTCTACCCTGACGAGGCTGCACTGAGGCCACTGCAGCGGTCTCAGCGACAGGGGCTGTCTCCGTAACAGCGGCGTAAGCATCAGAGTAAGTGCACTGGGAGGGAGCACAATCCTGAAAGATAGGGACTGCCAAAGTACCACTAGATTGAACAATAGTGCACTGGCGGATGGAAGACCCCTGTCACAGCGACCGCAGCGAGAAGGGCGTCAAGGCTCGAAACCGGAACAGACGGGTCAGTAACGAGAGAGGCAAGGACCCGAGGAACAAGAGGACGAGCGGCACGCAGGTAGTCAGACAGAGGGGGGGGAGCAACGACAAGAGAGGACGGAGGGGGCGACGGGAGAAGGGGAGGACGAGACGCGTGGGAACGAAGCAACATAGGGTGAGAGTGCGAGACAGGGGAGATAGGTCGAGCACGGGAGGGACGGTGAGACCAGACGTGAGACGGAGGAGTCGGGTCAGGGAACAGAGGAGGGGACACAAGAGGGGAACGAGGGGGGAAACGGGCCGGAGACGAGTCCGGAGGAGGGAACACAGGGCCGTAGACAGGAGGAGGAGGAGGCACAGGCACGAGGTCAGGGGACGGAAGGCCGAGCAGGCGAAGAGCGGACACCGGCGGGGACTGTTGCGGCGGTGGTGTGACACCGACACCAGGACCGCAAGCTGCCTAGCGGCTACCTCCAGAACACTCCATGCTAGCACCCCCAGAAGGAACACCCCCAGAGCTCAGAACCCCTCGAGAACCGGTACCACCCCCATGCCCGCCGGGACAAGCCACGATACGAGTCCCATGACTAGTACCCACCCCAACTCCAGCACCCCCAGAGGCAACGAACTGCTGCGGCGACTTCTGCGGCGACGGCGGCTGCAACGACGGCTGCGGCGGCGGCGGCGGCATTGACGACGGCTGCGACAGCGGTGGCGACGGCGGAGGAGGAGACACCTGAGAAGGGGCAGGCGACGAGGACTGCGCCGCAGGACCACCAGAGTCAGCAGACTCCTCAACCGGGACAACCGACGTAAGTGGGGTGACGTGGGACACACCAAAGGGGGCAGGACGGGGAGGGGGAGGAGGAGGGGCGGCGACGACCGGGGAAGGGGTGACCAGGAACAGGGGGGGGTAACCTGGGGACCTCGGTGGGGGAAGCGGCGGAAGAAGGAGACGGACTCGTCAAAGGTGACGTCACGGGAGTGAAAGAACCGGTGAGACGGCGGGTGGTAGAAGTTCCAGTCAGACGCGTTAAGGGGGAAGCCGAGGAAGACACAGGGAAGGGTGCGGGCAGTGAGCTTGTCCGTGCCAGAGGCACGAACGTGAGCAAGGCAGCCCCAGACGTGGAACATAGACGCGTCACCAGGTGACCCAGACCAGAGGAGGGTCGGCGAAACCTGAGGCTGCTGGGGGTGCGGCCACACGTTAAGCTGGTGAGCGGCATAGCGAACGGCGAACGGCCACAGAAAATGGGGTGCCCCAACATGGATCATGGAGGTGCGAGCCACCTCCATGACCAAACCGATGCGTCGCTCAGCGACCCCATTCTGCTGCGGGGAGTCCGGCAAGGTGAACGTCTGGGTGATGCCCTCCGCACGACAGAAACGACCAAGGATACCAGAGGCAAACTCGCCACCACGGTCGGAGTGGAGACGCAAGACAGGGAGACCGCGGTGGACACGCGCAGAGACAAGCCACGGGATGAGAACGTCAGGCACGTTGGCCTTCCGCTCCAGGGGGAACACAGTGGTGTAGCGCATGTAGTCGTCGACAAGCACTAGGAAGTAGCGCTCTCGACGCGGCGCATGGACGGGGGCGGGGCCCCAGACGTCCATGTGCAGAGTGTGTAGCGGTGCTGCAGTAGGGGGAAACGAGGAGGAGTGAGGGGCACGGCGGAGCCGGCCCTCGACTCAGGGCGTGCAAGGTGGGGCTGGGGAGGAGGGAAACTCGGGGAACGACCCGGGGAGGCCTAGGACGAGACCGTGCTGTGACATGTGACGCAGACGTGGGAGCGCAGGGTTACCTAGGCGGTGGTGCCAGAGAAGAGTCGGGTGAGTGAGAGATCGAGAGGTGCAGGCAGCAGCAACCGGGGGAGACGCAGTCACCTGAAGGGGGGTCCCAGCCGGGGGGGTCACCGTCTCCAGTGTGAAAAGACCGGACACCGGGTCCCGTGGGGCCGGCTAGGGACGGACGCGACGGCCAGGGGGGCGGCTAGGGGCGGACGCGACAGCCAGGGGGCCGGCTAGGGATGAGCGCGATGGCCAGGAGGGCCGGCTAGGAGCGGGGCGCGACGGTGGCTAGGGCCTAGGGGGCGGAAGCGTGGGCGGGCTAGGGGGGAACCTAACCTATGATACCATATCAGAAAGAATAAATTGAGCTAGAATGTGTGAGTACAAGGGTATATAGACTAGGGTGTTGTACCCTCTAAGGCACAATCCAGTATAGTCTATAGTAATGACCTAAGTTACATTTGACAGGGGCGCTCTAAGGGCGACGCACAGCTAGACTAGGGTAGGCGACGAGCTGGACTAGGCGACGAGCTAGGCTAGGGTAGGCTAGAGTGGAAGCGTGGGTGGGTGGGAGCTACCTAGCGTGATACCATTTTAGAGTAGCGAAGTGAACTCAAGCAAGGGATACAGGTGAGATATATGGTTTGGTGTTGTACTGTCTATAACTGCTACATATAATACATATGTATAAGTTGACAGGTTTCTCTGCCTTAATGGGCATCTATATGGGACAGATGCTTCTCTTTTTTCGTATTACCCCTGGACTAGGGTCTATTGTGTTCGAATGCAAGCTAACAAGAAATGGAGAAGGCCGCCATGAAATGGCGGATTGGGTTTAGCTAGGGAAGAAGTAAAAGTGTCGAGAGAGAAGAGGAGGTAGACTAGAAGAGAATGAAGTACAAGAAGGGGGTTGTCCCTCCTACAGAAAGGTTCAGTAACAACTATCAAGCCTATCAATTATATATGACTTATATAATTTTAACACACCCCCTAGGCTTGGTAGTCACACACCCCCACACCCCCTAACCTAGCACCCCCATTCTCTGCAGTCACAACTACTCCAGCAGGGTCGACCCCAAGGCCCTGGAGATGGCGACGGCGGCAGACCCGGCAGCGGCGACAGCGACGGCGACGACGGGCGTGCGGCGGGAAGAGGCATGCGACGACGACAGCGGTGACGGCGACGGCTTCGGCTTACGATGGCGGGCGTGCAGCGGCCCCCGCCCTTCCGGCGGCGTGTCCATACTCCACGACAGGGGGGACGACCGGCGAGAGACTGGCGACGGCTGAGACGAAGAGGAGAGGACCGAGGAAAGGGGGGAAGGGGCGGGGCTTCGTATTCTTCAGCGCGGCGCCATTGCTGGCGCCACGCTTACTGGCGGGCGGACGCGCTGCACGTCCAGCAGCTGCGGAGGTGAAACTCGGCGGCTGCAGCTCGACGACACCGCCGCGGCACCAGAATGACGCCGCAGCAGCGTGGCGTCGGAGCCGCAGATGCTCGTCGAAGTTGGGACGGCAGCATCAAGTGGTCGCCGCGACATCTTGATGCCACGGCGGCAGGCAGGCAGAAAGCCGCAAAGGCGGCGAACGGAGCAGGAGTGCGCAGCGGAAACGTAGTGAGCAGGCCCGGGACGGACGACCTGCTCTGATACCATGTTCGAATGCAAGCTAACAAGAAATGGAGAAGGCCGCCATGAAATGGCGGTCGGGGTTTAGCTAGGGAAGAAGTAAAAGTGTCGAGAGAGAAGAGGAGGTAGACTAGAAGAGAATGAAGTACAAGAAGGGGGTTGTCCCCCTACTGAAAGGTTCAGTAACAACTATCAAGCCTATAAATTATATATGACTTATATAATTTTAACATATTGGACAGCTGAGGGGGCGTAGTATGCCATTGCAACACATGAACAATTTGTGGCTAGGGAACTTGGTAATATGGAGAAATATGTATACATTATAGCAAATCAGAACAAAGGCATTTACCGTATTCCCCCGGATAAACCACCCGCCGAAATTAATCACCCATGGGTGGTTTGGGCGAACATGGGTGCTTTATTAAACTGGATATTCATACCACCCTAGTTTTTGGCATGAAACCTATACACCACCCCCCTGGTTCATTTTCAGTGTATTTCTTTAGATTTTGCCTCTTATCAGAGTGTCTCTTATCAGACTTGCGCGTCACTGCGCAGTGCAAGCTCGACGTGAATTGGTTCAATGCGGTGTAGAACTGTTACCATGCCTGGAATTCTCGCCACTCAGGCGAATGTTGCGAGTCTGATACGAGGCTCATGGGAACACACTCCTCACAGTCAACAACACTACAGCGCGGGAGAATCCATGTCGGTCAGCCCTGGTTGGGTCGTGAAGAAATCTGCAGCAGATTCCTTCCGGCTTTGGTGCGCTGTCACATTGTGGCGTCGAGGTTGCCACTTGCCACCACGATCTGATAGAACGTGACAACATGTAACGCATGCAACCTGTAACTATTTGCCTGCATTGTGGCATGACGATGGTCCTCCTCACCATATACGCGATCATGTGCAAGAATCGTAAAAAATTGGCACAAAAGAAATGTCTACAATACAGTTCAATTCCACTTTATAAACATAAAATTGTCATTCCATAGCCTCCAGGCGTTATACAAAATTATATTTTTTTTAACACATGCAGTGTTTTTCAAAAATTGTGTATTGTGAAAGCAAAGCTGATTGTACTGAAGCATTGGGCATCGTCGAAGCGCGCTACTCGCCCTTCTCCAACTACAAATACCTGGGTTGGAGCTCATTTACCTCCACCCACGTCTCTCATTTTTCAAACGGCTCAGTCCACTTTCCCACCCACCCCACCCCTAGACAACCGTGCATGTCCAATTTGTTGAGTGACCCGCTGGGGTTGCCCTTGAGATCCTCGGGGAAGGGCCACAGGTGCAGAGCCTGGGGGGCTATGGGCGCACTTACCCGCTATTCAACAAGCCCTTTTAACCCAGTGGTTAGTGACTGGGTTTCTGACATGGTACATCGGAGCCAAAGGTCTTGGGTTCAACTCCCAGTGCCAGCGCTGCAGAGGCGCTCGTGTCTTCCACCTATCCCAGCGGGGGGGGGGGGGTGTTGAGTGACCCGCTAGGGTTGCCCTTGAGATCCTCGGGGAAGGGCCACAGGTGCAGAGCCTGGGGGGCTATGGGCGCACTTACCTGCTATTCAACAAGCCCTTTTAACCCAGTGGTTAGTGACTGGGTTTCTGACACAATTGCCAGCCGGTCACTTGAACGGGAGCGCACAACTAGGATCATGAAGTGTGTATGTTTAGATTCTTATAAGCTAGTAAGAGACTATTGTACCTAGCCCACTTGAAATGAGAACGATGCCTATTGCAAAGGACAAGAAAGCAAGCTTTCTCAATATGTGCCATTTATTATACCCCCTCGAAATTTTACATGGGTTATTACTAACACCCCTGGGTGTTTTATCCGGGACAATACGGTATTTGCAGGTTCTTATGCTCTGCCGACTAGCTTGCTCACATATACTGGAACTTGATGCGCTTGCTACGAGGTTTGTAAACCTCAATTCCGTCAAGGGAATCTACAGTAAGCCACTTCCACTTGCTCTCATCCTCCAGCAGCCCGATGCAATAATGAGTACAGGGTGGCTGACTCTCTGCGTCCTTACTGTCACATCTGGGTGGCCATCTCGGGGGCGGCTTCCTCGTCTGACTCTTGGGGCCATCCACATCTCCTTGAGTGGGCGGCGCAGTGCACGTGAACAATGGCGGTTGTGTGATGTTGCGGTTGTCCTCTAGTGCGGACACGGAGTACTTGGCCAGCAGGATGGCCCAGTATAGTCGCCGCCCGTCAAACGTGCACACATCACTGATGTGAAGGTGGGGGGAAGGGAGGGGAGAGGAAGATGTGTGTGAGGGAAGATATAAGGAGGTGGTTGAGAAACATGTGAAAAGCTGTGTATGTGTGTGCGTGCGTATGTGTGTGTGCGTGTGTGTTCGTGTGTCTGTGTACGTGTGTGTGTGTGTGTGTGTGTGTGTGTGTGTGTGTGTGTGTGTGTGTGTGTTTGTGCATGTGTGCAACAGCAACACCCACCTTGCAAGCTCGTTGGCTTGTTGAGCAATCCTCCTCGCCTCCCCATCGTTCCTCTGTGCCCACTCTATCTGCCCGAAGAGGTCCGAGAAGTAGCGGTGCGTGGGCACAAAGTGCCGGTAGGGGCACATGAGAGGGTCAAAGAACTGGGTGTATTCGCTCGCTTGTTTGATCAGCATCTGGTTGCTTGACAGCACACCGCACACGCGCCCGCTGCCCGTTCCGCCGTCCACGTCAAGCTCGTACTTGTAGCCCTGCAGCTGAGATGGGCCAAGGCGGTCGCCGAAGGTGATGGAATCGTGGCGGAGGCTGCAGGCAGAGAATGGGGGCAGGAATGGGGCAGGGAGAAAGGGAAATGATGGAGGGAGGGAAAGGGAGAACAGAGAAAACGGGAAAGTGATTAGAGAGTGCCACATCCATTTAGAGAAAACGGGAAGGTGATTAGAGAGTGCCACATCCCTTCAGAGGAAACAAGTCCTACGGATGGAAAGCATTGACGGATAAACGTCATTTCCTCCCACTGTTCACATAAGAAAAGACTGTCAGGCGAAATAGAAAGACCAGCATTTACACTTACCCTGCACGGTATTCGGGATCCACGCCCCCCACCACTCGAGCATCAAGCAGGTCCGGGCGAACGTCCGACATCCTGAGGTGAAGTCAGAGTTCACGGTCCGATGAGAGGGGTGAGGTGGGTAGTGGGGAAGGGAGGGGCATATAGTGTAAGGTTGTTATTGGAGAATAGCACATGGAGTGGAGCGGCTTGGCGGCGACTTTGGACGAGTGGAGAGGAGGGGTTGAGTCTCTAAAGCGAGGGGCATGGCACATGGAACCGTCATGCATAACCATGCTATGACTTATCGTGGCACACCATGTGAGGCTACTGAGTAACACGCAATGCATCATGCACCATGTGATGCCATTAAATGTTCCACCATGCCACGTCATACAACGCCACATCATCCAGCGGTCCCTCACCTGTGCACCCGGAATCGCGGGCTGCCCCGCCAGTGCTTGGGGTAAATGACTCGGTAGTTGGTCATGCCACCCCGGAACACTGCCCTGCTCTCCTTCTGCTCCCACGGTACCTGCACGAGAAATACAGTAAGTGAATGGTGGGATAGGAGGGATGAGCAAAGGAGCTGGTATGCTACCCGTAAACGCCCGGATAGAAGACCCGGGCGAATAGAAGACCCTAGGGTCTATTATCCGGGTGTTTTCTTATAAACGGGTACTCTGTTTATAAGACATGGATTCTATATAGGTATGACATAAGACCCTCCCTGGGTCGTGTATTCGGAATTTGCTGCCGCAATGCTACCACCGCTGGCCAAGAATGGTCCGAAATTCGCTGCCAGAAATTGCCTAGGCAGCAATTTTCTCGCAAGCGCACCATGCCGTAATGATTGCGGCCAAACCGCAACATTCCTGTTGGCCCACAACTCGATATGGACGTGAGGCAGTAATAGGACATTATACATGCATTTACTTAAATGAGTTCCGTTTATAAGAATTATAAGACCCCCTATTCCTTCCGTTTGTAAGACAAGCCTCCAAATTCTTAGGGGGTATTGGACAAGACCCATGGGTCTTCTATCCGGGCGAATACGGTATGGATGGTGTGGAAAGGGCTTAACCCAATAACCAAGGTGCTAGAATGGAAAGCGTTTTTCAGTTGTGCTAGAATCGCGGAACGAATTCCCCTTCACGCGTGCTCTTCAGCCTTTCCTCATTTCCCCAGGAAATCCCAGGGTTCTTATCACCCTCGTCTAGCCGCATTCCTCGACACCCCACCATAGCTTTGGCAACTGTCTTATACAAGGTCTGTTTTACTTTTACTACGCCCTATCTCACCTCATCTTCCGACTCCCGGAAATAATTGCTGCTGAGATCGACCGGATCAGGATAAAGGATGTCGACGCTGCCCGGCCCACCATGCACGCTGAAAATGGGCAGCCCGGCTAGCGGCTTTGCGACACTGCTTGCTTTGCTGATGTGCATGTCGCATGTATTGAGGAAGAATTCCGCATTCAGGTTGTGTAGCTTGTACTCCCTTATCGCATCCTGTTTAGTGTAACGGGGATGTGCATTGGGATGTAATGGGGATGTGCAAAAGGTTGTGGAAGGGATTGACAATAGGGTTGCGACTGGGTGGATGAGATGCCACGTCATCGCGGGTTTGTAAATCAGTCTCTACATGACCTCTACGGCCAGCATAAAACAAAATTGCCTCTCCAACCTTCTCACTAGTCCCCGCTATAATTTAACCTCCTCCCGTCGTTGTCACTTGTTGCTTACCTGGATCATTTTCATGGAGAAGACGAATCGCCTGAGGCGGTACCAGTCGAACTCGAAGTTGCCGAATCGGAAGAAAATCTTTCCGCGCACGATGCGCACGTGGCCCGCGCACGACAGCACCTGCGCGCAGGCATTGGCGCAACCGCGGAGAGTGAATGCGAGCAGTATTAGGACGGATTCAGTAGGGAGGAGAAAAGCACGATGCGCGCATGGCTCGCGTGGCGTCACGATACATGCGTGCGCAGCTAGTGTGACATCAAGGGGGCGGGGGGGGGGGAGGGGAGAAGCGCGCACAGCTAGTGTGACATCAAGAGGGGGAGGGGGGAGGGAGGGGAGAAGCGCCGCGCACAGCTAGTGTGACATCAAGGGGGGGGGGAGGGGAGAAGCGCGCACAGCTAGTGTGACGTGAAGGATGAAATTCATTTTGGGATGTCGGACATTGCGAGGGGAGCTCGCGAAGAATAAGGAATCGCGAGAGGAGGTGGACCATGGGGAGGAGGAGACTCTCCTCGAACTGAAAGGGCCCAGGGGAAGGAACCGGGCGGGTGCTGGGGGGGTTGAAGGGGCGCAGTGGGGGAGCGGGGGAGCGGGGGAGCGGGGGAGGGGTGGAGGGGGGAGCAAGGGGGAGATGTGATGGCTCACGTTCGCCAAGGAGCTCATTTGGTGCAGCATGGCGGGGTTGATCATTCCCCGCGCGCCCATGCCCTGGGTTACCCCCGGAATGCCCATCCACGGGCGCAGGTAGTTGTGCGCAAGGCAAGCCAGCTTCCGCGCGCTGGCGGAACCGCTGCGTTCGCTCAGCGCGGGGAACTGCGCCAGGTCCGCCACGCACTCGTCCGCGTCCGCGCGCATGTCGGGGAAGCCGCACGAGCCCTGCCCCGCCTCGAACACTCTGGGGGGGGCAAAAACAAAGAGCCGCGGGGTGGGAAGAAGGGGGAGGGGGAGAAAAGGGGAAAGGGACGGGAAGGAAGTGGGGAGAGAGAGAGTGGGGGAGGAAGGGGGGAGGGGGGAAGGTGGAAGCGGGGTTGAGAGGGGAAAGGGAAGAAGGGAATGGAGGCGTGAGAGGGGGATAAGGTTAGGGCGAGCAGAGAGGTAGGATCTTCGCATCGTCGAACCTCGCTTCTGAGCGCTCTCACGCACTTGTGTGTGTTTGTGAGCCCTGACGCCTGGCGCTGCCAGGTCTGGGGAAAATGACCTCGCCGTGCGGCCTGAGGCGATGTTTCCAATTCGCTCGAATAAAATACAGGGCAGGAGTATGGTGTCGAGGGCACATAACCAATCCCGCTACACACCTCTGGACTCGCTCCGCGCCGGACACTTCACTTCGCCGAACCTCACGGCCTGACTGTAGCGAGGATGCCGACTGTAGCACGCCCGCCTCCTCCTGCTCGTACTGATGTCGCTCCAGCAGTCGACCGGGGCTCTCGTCCAGCTGGCGGCCGTTCGGTTGCATGGTTGGTGTGGGAGGGAAGGAGGCAGTGAGGAGAGAAGAAGCGGCCTGAAGGAATATCATACTTTGAGTCGACTAAAAAAACGCTCTAGCAGTCGACCGGGTATTTCGCCCAGCTGGGGTCCGTTCGGTTGCATGGTTATGGGGGATAATGTGGCAGTGAGGAGAGAAGAAGAGGAGCGACGGAATGGGGGAAGCGACGGGATGAGGAGAGTGAAAGGCGAGAGATTGGGAGAGTCTATTTTTGAGTCGACTCAAGAATAGACTCAGAAGAAGAGGAGCGAAGGAATGGGGGAAAGCGGCGGGATGAGGAGAGTGAAAGGCGAGAGGTTGGGAGAGCGGGGAGCCTCCCCACTCCTGAGGATGAAAGGGGGATGGAAGAGACTGGGTAAGGAACTCAGGGGAAGTCTATTGCAACGACGAGGAATAGACGAGGCGCGGATAGACTGCATAGACGGGGACGGCGATTCCTACCATTCCGCGGATTTGGAAGGCGCCGTTTTGGCCGCAAGCCACGTGGATTCGATGCGCGCCGAGCAGCAGCAGCACGAGAACCAGCAGCGTCGGCATGGATGCCCTCTCCTCCCGCGACATGGACGACCGCAGTATTGCTGAGGAGAATTCGCTGTACCAGTGCTACTATTAGGGTTGCTGAATGGAGGGTTGTTGAAAACTAGAGTGAGGGGGACTCCTGGACAAAGCAAGTGCAGGTGATGGACTTGTCTACATGGGAAGACGCTATCTAGCTTGCGAGGACTGGGAACGCCGTACTGATGGTGCTTCAAGCGATCCGAACAGTACTTCCGATGCCGCCTTCGGAATGTGAGGAGAATGTTGAGCATCTGACTTGAACGCTTGCTGATCAACGCTCGAAGCGCCCAGTAAAGAAGTCCGCCTTCGTGAAATCGAAGAGCTGTGGCGAGAAACTGGCGCAGGGCGAAATGGGACAAATGGCAACCCTTCGTATAGATCGTATGCGAAATGGGGTGGGTGCCCGTGCGAAACCTCACGCGAAATCAGAGCACAGAAAGCGGGTGGTTGTGGTGGTGCTAGTGGGATTTCCCTCAAGCCTGGGCAAAAGCCTGGCACAGAGCAACACAACCCACACTTCAGGTTGCTTGCGAAGCCACACTCCATCCCAGCCTCCAGGCGCTTGTTGGCGAAACGCGACGCGGCTGGTGCAACTGTTTGGTCTACCCAGAGGAATGCCATCTTCCCTACAAGCTGATGCGACAGCAGGTTCCCAACCTAGCACATGTAGAATTGGGAAATATGTGAAAGCTTTGGTGCCAACACAAGCATAGATAGGGGAAGTATTTAGTCAAAGCGCGATAATTCCATTCACTAAGGGTTTCGAATTGATTACTCAATTTATTCATTTGGCCATTGCACACAATTGATTCTCAAACTAGCCATTTCATGTAGTTAAATTTCGTTACAACGCTACTGCCAAGCTCTAGGAAGGAGCGTTAGAGAGGTCGGGATTAAAACCACAGGCTAAAATAGCACAGGAGGGGCTTCAAGAGCGCCGCTCTTGAAGGCGGGCACTCTAGAAAACTTGGAAACAAATGGGTTGCTATGGGCGACACTTTCGGGGCAACCCGTGAAGCTGAAAAAACAATTCGCTGTACGAACGGAGCCTGCGACAGGCGACGAACACCAAGGACGATGAGGAGCCGCAGGATCGGCCTGAGTATACGACGGAAACAGCGATGGGGACAGGGCACATTAAAGCCCGCCCAGCAGGTTGCATATTTGTACTGTTTAGGTGGGTGGGAGAGCAGAACCTGATTGGATAACGAAGGATTCTTCAAACGAAATAGCTGGCGAGTACTAGGCTTCTCAGAGCCAGCGTTCGTTTCGTGCAAGCTAGCGGGGCTGGAAACTTGGCAGGGCTGCCAGTTTTGCAGCTCACAATCTGGCAGAGAGCCACCTCGCCAGCTCTGCCAAGTTTGCAGGGCGAGAACTCCTGACTGTTTCGATCACAACCAACCCTTTGACCTGACCGGTTTCGGAAAAACAAACCGGATGTTGTTTGACGCATATACAGTTCGGTACAGTGCGACCCCAAAAATACGAATCACCTTTTTGTTTCGCGATTCCCGCCCAAACTGCGAAGTACATATTCAGGTTTCTACCCCCCACCCAACCCGTCCCTTTTTTTTCCCTCGAAGAACTTGGCAGGTTTGCACTGCCAAGTTCCGAGAGGCCCCCAGCCCTGCCTGGTTGGAAATCCTTTGTGAGCATTTGGCAGTTTGATGCCAGCTGCTCGGTTACGAGGGCCTCAAGGTGCAGCATCTTGAGAAAAGATGACTTGCAACCTGCCGGTCGGGCTTTAAGAACACCAATACACATGAAGCACACACCATGAACAAAATCCAAGGTTCTGAAAACAGCAGGCGAAACTGTGTATATCGTACAGAATCCGACAGCAAAACCGTGGGACTGGATTACTCCCTCACCCGGGACTGAGGTAGGGGAAGAGAAGTGACGGGCACGGGTCAGTGAAATCCCAGTGAAGGGTGTGCGGAAGCTACAAGTCTCCAAGCTAGGCATTCATGCCACGGTGTGACCTCGGCAGAAAGACTTGGAAGGACGATGGCATAACAGGGTGCAGGGTCTGGAGCGCGACCGTTATCGCACCACCCATACGCAGAATGCATAGAAAACAAAAAACGCAGACATCAACCTCTAACGCATGTTCGAGAGCCACGAAGGGCGAAACGGCATAGCAATTACGCGCATTGGAGTGGCGGACGGGAATCAGAGTGCCTTTGGCGGCCAGCCCGGTGCAACGACCGAGACCCCTGAGAGGGTGGAGATCAGCGGAGATGGGAGGTCAACCGTGAATGGTGGGGCAAAACACCGACGCCATGGACGACCCACGCGCACCCATGTGAGAACATTCTCCCCCCCCCCACTGTCCCTCTCTCGCTACCTCTTTCCTATCGCGGAAGAGGCCCTACCGTAGTGCCTCTTACCCACCATATTTCCCGCTGCGCCTCCTCCTCATCGCCTCCCCTCCCGTAGTGCCTCTCTCCTTTCTTCTCCCCCGTCGCATCCCCCCCTGTCCGCTCCCCTCCCATAGTGCCTCTCTCCCTCCCTCGTCCCCGGCGCGTCCCCTCCTGCCCGCTCCCCTCCCGTAGTGCCTCACTCCCTCCCAATCCCCCTGCGCGTACCCCCCTGTCCGCTCCCCTCCCGTGGGCCTCTCTCCCTCCCTCTTCCCCGGCGCGTCCCCCCCTGTCCGTTCCCCTCCCGTAATGCCTCTCTCCTTCGTTCGTCCCCGTCGCGTCCCCCCCTTTTCGCTCCCCTCCCGTAGTGCCACACTCCTTCCCTCTTCCCCGGCGCGTCCCTCCCTGTCCGCTCCCCTCTCGTAGTGCCTCGCTCCCTCCCAGTCCCCCTGCGCGGGCCTCCCTGTCCGCTCCCCTCCCGTACTGCCTCACTCCCTCCCAATCCCCCTGCGCGTCCCCCCCTGTTCGCTCCCCTCCCGTAGTGCCACACTCCCTCCCTCTTCCCCGGCGCGTCCCCCCCTGTCCGCACCCCTCCCGTAGTGCCTCACTCTCTCCCAAACCCCCTGCGCGTCTCCCCCCGTCTGCTCCCCTCCCGTGGTGCCTCACTCCTTCCCTACCCCCCTGCCTCACTCCCTCCCTAACCCCCTGCGCGCCATACGCACAAGCACGATCCTGCATGTGCCCATGCACGCCATATGCCCAAGCTCTCTGGTGCATGTGCCCATGCACGCAATGCGCCCACACACGCTGGTGCATGTGCACATGCTGCACCAGCGCCCAAGCATGCTACTGCATGTGCACATGCACGCCATATGCCCAAGCACGCTGGTGCATGTGCACATGCCACACAAACACCCAAGCACGCTGGTGCATGTGCCCATGCTACACCAACGCCCAAGCACGCTGGTGCATGTGCACATGCACGCCATATGCCCAAGCACGCTGGTGCATGTGCACATGCACGCCATGTGCCAAAGCACTTTGGTGCATGTGCACATGCACGCCATACGCCCAAGCACGATGCTGCATGTGCCCATGCACGCCATATGCCCATGCATGCTGGTGCATGTGCCCATGCACGCCATATGCCCAGGCACTTCCATGCACGCAATACGCCCACGCACGCTAGTGCATGTGCACATGCTACACCAACCCCCAAGCACGCTGGTGCATGTGCACTTGCACGCCGTATGCCCAAGCACGCTGGTGCATGTGCACATGCTACACTAACGCCCACACACGCTGGTGCATGTGCACATGCACGCCATATGCCCACACACGCTGGTGCATGCGCACATGCCACACAAACACCCAAGCACGCTGGTGCATGTGCACATGCGTCCCATATGCCCAAGCACTTTGGTGCACGTGCACATGCACGCCATACGCTCAAGCACGATGCTGCATGTGCCCATGTACACCATATGCCCAAGCACTTTGGTGCATGTGCCCATGCATGCAATACGCCCACGGACGCTGGTGCATGTGCACATGCTACACCAACGCCCAAGCACGCTGGTGCATGTGCACATGCTACTCCAATGCTCAAGCACACTGGTGCATGTGCACATGCACACCATATGCCCAAGCACGCTGGTGCATGTGCATCTGCACGCCATATGCCCAAGCAAGCTGGTGCATGTACACGCGCACGCCATATGCCCAAGTACGCTGGTGCATGTGCACATGCACGCCATATGCCCAAGCATGCTGGTGCATATGCATATGCACGCCATACGCCATGCGCCCATGCACGCAATACGCCCACGCACGCTGGTGCGTGGGCACATGCTACACCAATGCCTAGGCACGCTGGTGCGTAGGCACATGCACGCCATATGCCCAAGCACCCTGGTGCATGTGCCCATGCCACACAAACACCCAAGCACGCTGGTGCATGTGCACCTGTGTGCCATATGCCGAAGCACTTTGGTGCATGTGCACATGCACGCAATACGCCCACGCAAGCTAGTGCATGTGCACATGCTACACCAACGCCCAAGCACGCTGGTGCATGTGCAGAAGCTACTCCAATGCCCAAGCACGCTGGTGCATGTGCATGTGCACCCCATATGCCGAAGCATGCTGGTGCATGTGCACATGCACTCCATATGCCCAAGCATGCTAGTGCACATGCACGCTGCATGCTGGTGCATTTGCAGAGTGCACGCTGGTGCATTTGCAGAGTGCACGCATATGCTTGTGCACATGCACGCTGGTGCTTATGCTAATCCACGCTCACGTGCACGTGTGGAGCCCACGCTGGTGCAAGTGCGCATGCACGGGGTTGCGCATGCGCACTCGGGAGCCAATTCTCTGATGCAAACTCACAGATATCAGCCCAATTCCCCTGCACCCCATGGCAATGCAGGTGCCCTGGGCAGCCCTATCCACACCCCTTCTTGTCTTGACCAAACCTCCCATTGCATAAGCCCATCCCACTACACTCGGGTAACTTGTATCGCCTTACGCACCCCTACACAACCCTGGTCGCGAGGGAAAAGCTCCCGGGTCGGGCTGGTCTGATGTCCATTCTTTGACAACCACCATTGCCCACGCTGGCTATTCTGGCGGTGGTGTCGGTTATCCTCTCGAGGATCCAGATCATGAAGAGAAACCGCTCTTGCAACCTCATCCCCTGTAATTTCCAAGCAGGGGTGACACAAGTGAGCCCGAGAGCCTGGTTTTGCCAGGCGCAGTGCTGCAAGCGCTACGTCGCTCACCAGACAATAGGCACTGTCTGGCAACAAACATGAAGATCCCAACCCACCTTGCGCTCACTGGGGTGGCGGCATT